AAGAAGTATTAGAAGAAATTTAAGTGAAAAAGATCGCTTGTGCCTTTTTATTATCTAACTTCCCTGTCTTTTCCTTTGTTAGATTTGATATTCTATAGAGTCTGCATTGTCAAAATCTTTTCTTATCAGTTCATCCAAGGACCGTGTGTTTGTCACTCAATTACTTTTTTTTCTCAGTCACTTTTTAGCTTAATAGATTTATGGTTTCTATTTCTATTGTTTCTTGTGATACATATCTAGTGAAGCAAGAGAGGCTTAGGTTTGATAAGAAGAGTGTTATATGATATTGTTATCAGAGGCACATATATGTTGGGATTCAAAACTCCACGTGTTTCTTACGTGGTAGACTGGCATCTTTTACATATTATTGTACCTTCTTATTGTTTTGTGTGTCATTTGTGTGGGAGTTAGGTATCATTAGATGGATCACTTCAGAAAATAATCTGTCAATTCTAGTTGAAGTAAAGAGTAAGTAGTGCTTGGATGATCATGCAGGAGGACATTCTGAGGATTGATCTGTAATACCTAACTACACTATTTTAGTTGTTTATGATGTGGATTGCTGAAGCTTGAGGCTGATGAGATTTCTGTTCTTATGCAAGTAAAAATGTTGGCTCGAAAGTTTTATTGTTCTCTTGCATTTTGATACCTGTTATATGAGGTAGTAATGGAAGTTGGCTGAGTTTCTGCAGTTTTTGAACTGAGTTTAGTTTCTTGAGATGCTTAAACAGTCATATAAATATGTGCCTATGAAGGTTGTCCATTGTGTCTGTTATACGCTGCATGTTTGTCATGACTGATGTTGGTATAAAAAGTACTAAGTTGGAACAGTGCTTGTGCATAACAGTTTTTGTGTTATTGATTTTATTTTATTTTGCAGCTGATGTGAAAAGTTTTGTTCTCTTGAGAATTTGAATTCTTAAGTAACATTCAAATATAAAATTTTCTCTTCACATATGGTTGATTTTTGTGTAACAGATGCTTTATTTTGTTGGTTTAGGGATTGGTATAATCTTGAAAAATCAAAGAGGGTGAAGGCATTTCGATGTGGGGAATATGATGAATGCATTGAAAAGGCAAAGACTTCTGCTGCAAATGGTAATAAGAGAGCTGTGAAATATGCTCGGAGAGAAGATGCCATTCTCCACGCCTTAGAGATTGAGAATGCTCGCCTAGGCAAGGATCAACTGGACTTCTTCTCTAGAAGTGATAATTTGGGTGAAGAGCATGGTAGTTCAGCTAAAGAATCAAGCATGTCTTTTTCTGGAAAAGAAGATGGTGATATGACTGATGGGGATAGTTATTCTGAAGACAATTCAGACATGGATGCAGATTCAGATTCTGGTTTGGATACTGATTCAGGCTTGGGTTCAGATTTAGCACCAGAATTATCAGAGTCTGGTACATCCTCAGAGGAGCCAAATTATAATGGTGCTTGTAAGATGCAGTCTTTGCCAGGAAAGAGGAGAAGAACCCCAAATGATTCTGAGGATGATGGAACAGAAGGAATTAAGCGTATGAGAGGACTCGAGGATCTTGGAATTGGTGTAGGAGATTCAAGCACTGGGAATTGTATGCATAATATCTGTCCTGTAAATGGTAGCAAAGGTTATAACTTGCTAATGAAAAGAAAAAGGTCTCAAGTAGCAAATGTTAATGAGCTCTTGAAAAGAAAAAATCGTCACCGACCATTGACAAAAGTTTTAGAGAGTACGGCCATGGTGTGTGTTCCAGTTATTTGTGACCATCTTTCCAGTCCAAGTAGCTTGCCTCTTCCGGGATTATCTGATGATAAGATTTCTGGAATAGAATCAAATGGGTCTAGAAAAGACTGTTCTGTTGCAACCAATAATAACTCAGACAGTTATGGAGTTTCTTGTGAGAATGGTAGCTCATCTAAGTCTTCTGATCATGCTTATGATGCTGCTCTCATTAATCACAAGTTGAAGAAGGAAAAAGATATTTCCAGCATATCCAGGCCAGCTGAGAACATTTCTGTGGACAGGTTATTTGATGTGCCATTTGTTGGGGAGGAAAAACACTCTACAGGTAGTTGATTAGGACATTCAAAACTTCAGAGCATGTACCCTTCTCTGTTCATCTTGTATTTCCTTCTGTGCATATGTTGTCTGATGTCTTTAGTAGCATAACTGAAAACATTGGGACATAACTGGTTTGGAGTCCTATTTGTCTAATGTTTGTATATATTATATTCATGTCTGTTTTGAGCAGACTGTTGTATTTCTTTGTTTAAAAGACTTAGGATAGCCCAACCATTGTAGAGGAATTTTTAACTTGTTGTGATTTTTCTTTTTGATCTCCAGGTTTTTCTCCAATGCTTGTGTCCTGTTCACCTGGAAAGCATCAGATTGGTGGATTGGGGAAGCAATTTGGTCAAAGCAGTCAAGCAGAAGCTTTATTGTTGAAAAATGAAGCATGCAATGAATCTGGTTCTACTAGTCTGGCAGCTGCTTGTGTTTATAATGATTTCAGCCAGAGGATAGAGAAAGGTGCTTCAAAGTGGCAGTTAAAAGGAAAGAGGAATTCAAGACACACAAGTAAAAATAGAAAGCAAGACTCAAGAAAAGATGACATGGGTGATGAACCCAATGCTCACATGGCAGGTATGGAGCACTTGGATGGATTCCGTCAGGGTCCTGATCAGAAAGTTGATTGTGGTGGAGGTAAATCCGAACCATTTTCTGAATACCGTGTGGATGCTGTTCGGGACCGGAGCAAGTCTTCTTCTCAGGGGGAAGGTATGAGGGCAGCAATGGTGGAGTTGTCTGTGCCTCAAAGGTCACTTCCGTACCGTCAATCACGCTTCATGGTTAATTCCAGATATCAGACATCAGATTTTCCTGGAAGAAATCTCTCCTCGGGTTCAAAACTCTTTAATGTTGAGATCAAGGTTCAACGCAACTACCGGCAGCAGCATGTTCCGTTGGTTTCTCTAATGAGTAAATTGAATGGTAAAGCCATTGTTGGTCACCCTTTAACAATTGAGAATCTAGATGATGGCTATTCCGATCTTATGCTTGGTAGTAATGAAAGGGATACAACTCATTTTACTGGAGGGGAAACTCCCAAGCTGGGTCATGCGGCTATGCGAAATATAGAGGCTGGTAGGACACCTGCCAGGCGAATGACAGTGAAACCAAGATCTTCACCAAGTAAATCACACAAATTAAGGAAATGTGGGTTGCTTTCTAAAAAGATTCGGAAACTGTCTTCTTTGACAGGAAAAAGAGTAGAAGATAGCAAACTGGTGGTGGAGAAGCCTGGGGGTCCTGTTATAGCTTGTATCCCCCTCAAACTAGTGTTCAGTAGGATAAATGAGGCAGTGAATGGTTCAGCAAGGCAAACACACCGTGCCTTACCATCAAGCAACTCGTGAATCGTGTTCTCTGGAAAGGTTGGAGAATTTTGGATTAAAATGATAAATTAGTTTTGTGGCGCGCGTAGTCACGGGAGCCAGTTTTAGTTGGGGCACCTAGTTTTCTGCATATCCAAATGATGTCTGATCTGTGGCGTGCGCGCTCCATCCTGAAGGTGGAAACTCTCGGTTACAATTCCCATCCTGAAGGTGGAAACTCTCGGTTACAATTCCATGAGCTTTTTCACCGTTGTAGAGATGGACAGATAGGATTAAGAACAATGGAGGCTGTCTAGCTGTGTACATATGTAACGGTAGTTGAAGTGTAAATTAAAGACGGCGACCTTTGGTGGTATAAGGTACTTGTGGCCTGATGCTAGGTTTTGAATTTATGAATTGAGGTTGGTTTAGAGGGCAAATAACTCGAGTTTTTTCAGCAACTGGTCTGTGACATGAGATAACAATTTTGAGGGTAAATTACACTCCTCTGCATCTACGCCTTGTGTTGTACTTGTGGCCTGATGTTAGGTTAAATTTATGAATTGAGATTGGTTTAGGGGGCCAAGAACTTGCAAATTTTTTACAAATTACATTTTACATCTTTAATTGTTTCCCCCCTTGTGCAAGTTTTCTTTAGTTATTTCTTCAGACTCTTTCTCCCTTCCGTTCCATCTCTTCTTTGTTCTAATCAGAAGCTATTTCTCTCCAAAACCCTAGCTGTTAATCACGCCACTGCCCACAGATAGCAGCTAGCCACTACAACAATCCACACCAAAGACCAATCACGACAACTTCTTCACATCCGGCCACCATGCCGCTTGACAAAACTATAACAATCAGGGGATTCCAAACGAGAATTCATAGTAGACTCATGCAACAGCCACCATAACCAGGACCAGCAGTCCCTCTCTCTTCCCCACCTCCACCACAAAACCAACAATTTCAACCACTCTCCACCCGGGATCAAACCATAATTCTAGCCTTCACCACCGACCAATAAACCAAATATAATTGTTCTGATTGCAGCTGATGGTGCAGGAGGGGTTGCGTTCTGGACCTCGTTACCGTTCCTGATTTCTTCTTGATGCAGTTGCGAGGTTATCTGGTCTCCCTTCGCTTGGGCTACCAGTATTTTTATGAGCTTCTATGTTTCTGGAGCGAGCTCTGCGAAAAGCTTTTATAGTGCTGCAAAATGTCCTGCATTAGAAAAAGCTTCTTCAATTTTATTCCATGTAATCTACAAAAATACCCTTGCATTGTTGCCTCCCACTCAATCTGTCCCAATAATTTTTTTTGTACACTAATTATACCTTTTTACATCTTATAATCTAATTATATTTTTACTTACCTTAATTATTTTAAAAATTACAGCTTAGTATCTTTCAATTCGAAAAACCGAACTACTCTTATATAATATTAATAACAATAATAATACATCAAAAACACAGACGACAAATCAGATAGATCTAGTTTTCTCTCCGTTGCCGTCCGCATGTCGTCTCTTGAAAATACAGAGAATTGATTGAAAATAATCAAAATCAGGGAAGGCCCAGAACTAAAGGTAAAGATCCAGCCAACTAATTATCTCAGACCCAGCAACCCGAGGGCATTTTAGTAAATCTAAAAAAGAAACTAGGGTTTCGCTATAAATTTTCCATATAAATTAACCTCGTCGTCTCTAACCATACCCCATCGCTCTCACTCTGTCAGCTGCCATCCAAAACCCTAGCAGGTCTCTCTCCCCCTCTCTAAATCTCCATGTATCTTTGTTTAATTGACTGACTATAGAGAGTTTGGATCTGATGTGTTGCTGTGCAGGGAAAGAAGAAGAGAGGATTTGAAATGGCGACAGTACCAGGGCAACTGATATGGGAAATAGTTAAGAAGAATAACTCCTTTTTGGTGAAGCAGTTTGGAAGGGGAACTGCTAGCCTTCGGTTCAGCAAAGAGAGCAACAATCTCTACAACCTTAACTCTTACAAGCACTCTGGTACTCTCTCTCTCCCCCCCTCCCTCCCTCTCTGTGCGTGCCTGCTTGTCTGTCTCTCTTACACTATCGTGGTTTAATGTTTTCTCTTAAGGGACTCTGTGCTAGGTTTTGTTTTATCTGAGTTGAGGGCTTGATTTAGTTGATGTTTGGTCTTGAAAACTTTTATTCTGGAGGGAATGGAGAAGAATAGGAAGGGAAAAAGCTAACCATGGTGGTTTTCTCCTTCATTAACTGACCATATATGTTTTGTTTTGCTTCAATTTGAGGTTGCAGGACATAAGATGATAAATATATGATCAATCTTTGTATGTCAATTCACCTGTTTTGACGTGATTATGCATTGATAAGTTATAGCTTGTTGGATTTCTGATTGATGACTTTGTAATGTTTGGTTTTTAAATAATTTGGAAATCAATCAACTGAGGTTTTAATCTTCTTTTATTGTTTGTCAACCAGGTTTGGCAAACAAGAAAACTGTCTCCATTCAGGCTGGGGACAAGGATCAAGCTGTAGTTCTTGCTACAAGTAAGACCAAGAAGCAAAACAAGCCAGCAGCTTTGTTTCACAAGTCTGTCATGAAGAAGGAGTTCCGCCGCATGGCTAAGGCTGTGGAGAACCAGGTAATTATTGGTCTTTCGTCATCTTGTAACGTTTTTCATGTTTGTTGCTAAAATTTCTTGTTTCTCAGTCATTCACATCACTGTAATGATGATATCCTTTGTTTCAGTTGTTTCTGAATGGTTGAAAGCTGAAAATAGTCCTTTCTTTCTATGCACTTTCATTTTTCAGAGACGTTTTTTTTCTTTGCAAAATCAAGCACCCCCATATTACTGGTGATTTTATGTGCCCACTTTTTTATATGTCAGTGGAATTTCAAATATTGAATTAGGTTTTGGAAAATTTATATTAATACGTTTAATATCCATGTTTTGTTCAACTAAATCCATGTTTGGTTCCACTAACTGTATCAAGTCATGGATTTCTCTGCAGTGATGAGCTGTTAACATGTAAGTAGATTTGTAGGGTTTCTTTGATGAAATATACTTGGTACACATGGCTTCTGAGTTTTATCATTAAAGTGATCTGTTGTGATGTATGGCTAGTGCTCAAGTTTATTAATGCACACAATCCATTTCATGTATCATTGGTGCTTGCTTTCAGTATTTGAGTACACTTTAAAATATATTGAATGTTTTTCTTAGCATGAAGTGTACAGGTCGTTTTTGAAGCTTCATAGCTAATAGTTGTTCAATTTTAAATATTGAAATGCATGCCTGTTTTATTCAACCAAGTGTTTAAAGTCTAGGTTCCTATGCAGTGATGAGCTCATAACATGTAAGAAGATCCCTTTTGTGGGGTTTCTTCAGTGAAATATACTTGTTACGCTTGGCTTCTGAGCTTAGTACCTGTTATAGTGATTCTTTGATATGTAGTGGTCTTTGTTTGATTTGCTTGTACATGTCAAGTTGCACTAAGGAAATCAAACAGCTTGTCGTTTTATGCGCTTGTGTAGTTATGAGAATTGATTTTAGTTCTTAAAGTTGCTCTTTTTTTTCCTTAAAAAAAATTATTAAGACACTTGATTCATTCAGCAAAAATTGAAGCTGGAATTGAGGAATCAAGTGGGTTTGCTTAAATATTTATATCCATTTTGAAAGATTCTTTCAACATCATGTTGCATCATGGTAGGTTATCAGGTTGTCCAAGATAATCATATTTGATTAGATAATCTTTTATTTATTTAATCTTGTTTTTTTAGCCATTTTGGTCGAAGTCATTAGATTTCTAAGCAGTGATGAGCTGTTAACATGTAAGAAGAACCCTATTGTGTGTAGGGTTTCTTCAGTGAAATGTACTTGTTACGCTTGGCTTCTGAGCTTTGTACTTGTAGAGTTATAGCAATTCCTTGATATGTATGGCTGGTGCCTCCTTTTGTGATTTGGTAGTACATGTCATGCTGCACTAACAAAATGAAACAGCATCTCATTGTTTTATGCACTTGCATAATTGTGAGAATTGATTTTCTTTCTTAAAGTTGTTTTTGTTTTCCTTAAAAAAATTATTCATACACTTGATTCATTCAGCAAAAAATTGAAGCTGGGATTGAGGGATCAACTGGTTTTGCTTCCATATTAAAATCCATTTTCAAAGATTCTTCCAAAATCATGTTACATCTTGGTAGGTTATCAGGTTGTCAAACAATCATATTTGATTAGATAATCTTTTATTTATTTAATCTTGTTTTTTTAGCCATTTTGGTCGAAGTCATTAGATTTCTAAGCAGTGATGAGCTGTTAACATGTAAGAAGAACCCTATTGTGTGTAGGGTTTCTTCGGTGAAATGTACTTGTTACGCTTGGCTTCTGAGCTTAGTTCTTGTAGTTATAGCAGTACCTTGATATGTTGGGCTGGTGCCACCTTTTTGGATTTGCTTTTTACATATCATGCTGCACTAACACAATGAAGCAGCATCTCATTGTTTTTTGCACATGCATAATTGTGAGAATTGATTTTCTTATTTAATTGTGCCTATTGTGTGTAGGGTTTCTTCAGTGAAATGTACTTGTTACGCTTGGCTTCTGAGCTTAGTTCTTGTAGTTATAGCAGTACCTTGATATGTTGGGCTGGTGCCACCTTTTTGGATTTGCTTTTTACATATCATGCTGCACTAACACAATGAAGCAGCATCTCATTGTTTTTTGCACATGCATAATTGTGAGAATTGATTTTCTTATTTAATTGTGCCTATTGTGTGTAGGGTTTCTTCAGTGAAATGTACTTGTTACGCTTGGCTTCTGAGCTTAGTTCTTGTAGTTATAGCAGTACCTTGATATGTTGGGCTGGTGCCACCTTTTTGGATTTGCTTTTTACATATCATGCTGCACTAACACAATGAAGCAGCATCTCATTGTTTTTTGCACATGCATAATTGTGAGAATTGATTTTCTTATTTAATTGTGTTTTTTTGGCCATCTTGGTCAAAGTCATTAGATTTCTTAATTGTGTTTTTTTGGCCATCTTGGTCAGTCATTAGATTATGCGGTGATGAGCTGTTAACATGTAAGAAGAACCCTATTGTGTGTAGGGCTTCTTCAGTGAAATGTACTTGTTACGCTTGGCTTCTGAGCTTAGTACTTGTAGAGTTATGGCGATACACCATGATATGTATGGCTGGTGGCTCCTTTTTTGATTTGTTTGTACATGTCATGCTGCACTAACGAAATGAAGCAGCATCTCATTGTTTTATGCACGGGCATAATTATGAGAATTGATTTTGTTTCTTCAAGCTGGTAATTTTTCTTTAAAAAAAATTATTAATACACTTGAATCAAGTGGGTTTTGCTTTGATATTTAAAATCCATTTTCAAAGATTCTTCCAAAATCATGCTGCATCTTGGTAGGTTTTCAGGAGGTTAAACATAATCATATTTGATTTGATAATTTTTTTTTATTTGATCATGTTTTTGTTAGCAATCTTGGTCGAAGTCATTAGGTGTCTTTGCAGTGATGAGCTGTTAACATGTAAGAACAACCCTATTGTGTGTAGGGTTTCTTCGGTGAAATGTACTTGTTACGCTTGGCTTCTGAGCTTTGTACAAATAGTGATATTTTGATATGCATTGTATGCTTTTACTTGTGTTAGCGCAAGCACACACAATTTACTTGCCTACAAGATACAAGCTAGCAGTTTCTAGATAACTTTCTTGTTGAGTTTCTTCAAATGCTCTTGCGCAATATTTTTCAGAAATTCACGTGCTTTGCTCATTGCAGGTAGAAGATAACTATTACAGGCCTGATCTGAAGAAAGCAGCTCTTGCAAGGTTGAGTGCTGTGCACAGGAGTCTTAAGGTAGCCAAGTCTGGTGTCAAGAAGAGGAATAGACAAGCTTTGAAGATCTGCTGATTTGAGAGCCGAATATATAAGTACTGTTGGGTGTCCTCTTGTGTCGCAAAAGAGGAATAGGTAACCCTTTTGTCTTGAGGTGTTTTGGGATTTTTATTTAAGATATCGATGTTGAACAATAGAGATTGTGATTTTTCCTGGACAATTTCTCCTTCAGTTTTGGATGGTTAGGTTCTGTTTTCTGGCCTCTGATTCAGAACTGTTCTGTTTTCAGTTTTTGCTTCTAAGATTCGGAAAATATCACTTTAGAAAGAATTACCGAAGGGTTTATTATTTATGGTTAGGGTTGAGGAATTTCAAGCATGGGCAAATGAGGTCGTTTTTTAGAGCTTGCTATAAAAATAGGTGACAATAAAAGGATGTCTATCCAAAAAAATCTTTTTTATTTTCTTTTTCAACATATCATGAAATGATCATTTCTGTTTATATTTAAGTACTTAATTTAATCTATATATATATATATATATATATATATATTCTAAAAAACTAAATTTTAAAAGGAACAAATAAACGAAAAGATTTAAGATAATTTAAGTTATTTTTAAAATCAAGTTTATCTTTAATTAAATAAATATTAAAAGATAAAATTACTAAAAGATAAAATTGAAAATAAACATTTAAGTTTAAAAAAAGAAAAGCAACCAGGCATCTTCTAAAATTGGGTAAGATTCTGAAATTCTAGATTCAAGTTTAATTAATTAAGAGATTTAATTCTTAATTAATTTAAAGATAAAATAAAAAAAATCAATTTAAATTACAAAATTTCCTCTAAACCAACCTAAAAATGACAATAAAGCCCTAATGAAAAACCAAAATGCCCCAGGAATCAAGCCAACGAAAATCGAATTTTATATCCTTGTTTGGCACTAACTGGAAACTTAAGTAAAAAAAATCAATTTAAAAAAGTTGTCAACAGAAAAAAATAACAATAAATAAAAACATTATTGTAAAAAAAATTTCATTAAAAATTTATATTAAATAAAAAAATAATTAAAAGATAAATATGAAAAATAAAAAAATTAAAAGATGAAATTAAAAAAAAAATTATAAATTATTTTAAATAAAAAATAAATTTTAAATTTTAAAAAATAACAAATAGAATGATCGCTTCGAAATCTTAAAGGGAAAAATGTGGAAATTGAGGAGCAAATATAAAAGAAGACAAAAACAAAAAGTCCCAAATAAAAACGATACTAAGACGATTCAATCGGTGTGGTTAACAAACAATCTTGTATATGCCATCTAAAAGGTACGAGGACTGCCCATGTATCGATGCTGCAACAGAAGTATCATCTACTTTTTTATAAATATTATTTATATTTATTAAATTATAAAATTCCCCCTAAACCAACCTAAAAATAACAACAAAGCCCTAATGGAAAAACCAAAACACTCCTGGAATCAAGCCATGGAAAATCGAATTTTATATCCTTGGTTGGCACTAGGGGTGTTCAAAAAAACCGAATAACCGAAAAAACCGAAAAAACCGATGAAAAATTAACCGAGAAAACCGAACCGAGATAAAAAACCGATTAAACCGATTACTAAAACTAGAAATATTTCCGGTTCGGTTCGGTTTCGGTTTTGCCACTGAAATCGGTGAACCGAACCGGTCCACCCATAAAATTAAGTAAAAAATAACCTAGTATAAATAGTAAAGAAACCTAAACCTAAACCTAGTAGTACACTTCACTTCTGAAGCCGCCTCCCCTATCAGACCAATTCTTCTTCCTTTCCCCTTCAATTTTCATCATCTCAGCCTCTTGTCCCTTTCATCCATCTCTTCTGTAGCTAATTAATAATTAATCAACCTACACCTCTTGTCCCTTTCATCCATCTCTTCTGTAGCTAATTAATAATTAATCAACCTACACCTC